GAAAATTTCTCATTTTCCATTAGTTAAAATCTCTGTGAGAGGGCTTGCTCCATTTTGCCAGCTGCTCACACTTCCCAAAGCAAAGTCATTCTGTTGAATGTATGAATTCTGAACTGGCTTCTACCCCTGAGGGCTGGTGCCCAGCCCTGCCTCACTCATTGGATGTTGGTGGCCATCTACTGGTTCTTGGGAAGGGAAGGTGGAGGCTGCTCTCACCTGACTGGGGTGTCCAGGTGAGATGAATGGGCTGTATTGCCATGAAACTTACTTGGAGTTGGTGCCACACCCCCATTCTAATGACCCTGCAGGGGACCTTAGGTTCAGCCTGTCCAACCCTATTCATCTGATCATCTTGGGTTGTTCTTGGAAACAATGGCCTGCAGCATAATGATCATGTATAAAATTATTCATGATAAAATGCTCTGAGTCATCTTGCTTGGGGAGAGAAATAAATGCTGCTGGCCTAAGGCTCTGAGCAGGAGTAACAGGGGCAGTTTGGAGAAGTGAAATCACCTGTGCTCCCTACATCTGATTGCATCAATTTGGGACTCAGGCATGGGTAATTTTTGAAAGTGCCTCCTATGACGTTATTAAATAGTCCAGATGAGAATCTAGGGATTGGGGAAGGGGAGAGGTTGGGAATGTTGTGTTTAGTGGATGGAATTAATTATGTTTGCTCAGTTAAGAAACTCTAGAGCTGGAAGCGACTTGCTCACAATTTTGCATATTGTTGGCCAATTAAATTCAAGTTTCAGTTTAATAAAGTACCCATAGACCACCTGCCCTGTACTGAGTATGGAAGGGAACTGGGATGCTGGACTGTCTCTGTAACCATTCACTAGGGCTAACTCCAATCAAAAGCCAAAGAGAGAAGCAGAAGTTCCTCCTACAGCTCCTGTGAGAAGTCAGGAGAGACTACCCAGCTCCCACCAAGGCCTCCTCCCCTTGCTTCTCCTGCACAGGGCTGCAGACCTGAAGTGTTGGGTGACTGCCTCCTTTGGCCATCCTCTTCTCTAAGAAGCAGGAGAATATGAGAGCAGATTGCAGGGACTCTGGAAGCAGATTGCCTAGGTTTGCTCCAGTGCTTCTTGCTGTGTAACCTGGGCATATTACATAAGCTCTCTGTGCTTCAGCTTCCTCATCTATAAAATGGGGCTAAATGTAGATCACAGGGTTATGAGGGCTAAGCAAGCATGCAGTGTATGCAAGAGGTGCTTAATGCAGAGTCTGGCACATAATATGCATCAGTGAGATTTCAGCTATTATCCTTGGGCTTGCATGCCTTCAGGTTAAAAAGAAGGGATGTTTCTCTGCAAACACTCTCTGTTCTAGACTAGGTTAAGTAAATTCTGTTATTTGGCATGAACAGTCTGTCAGGCCAGTGGGGCACACACTGCCTCCACTCTTATCCTTGCAGCCACCTGCTCTCAATGCATCTGTGCCCAGTTCTGCATCTGCAACTATCTATACTCAGCTCTCACCTACACCCAGATTCCCTCTGTGGCCTTTTGCTGACTGAGCCCACAGACTCGGCTGTCACCACCTTGAGTTTGTGTTCCACAGGCATCTTTTTTTTTTTTAATTTGTTCTAATAGGTGAGAAGCACCCTAATCAAGGGCTATATAGGGTGAACTGGCTTCAAGAGGAAGGAGATGGAGGTATGATCAGTTCCTTGTGCCTGAGGCAAGAAGACATTGATAAGCCAGGACAGTGAGGGGTGAAGGCACCCTCTGAATAGCACCAAGGAAAACCACCTCAGAAGGGTGCCTGTCCTGGGAGGTCAGAAACCACAGTGAGCCAGAGGAAGAGAGGAGGAGGAGCAGTAACCAGGAGAAAAGGACAAACTCCCCTTCCTGTTATGGGATGGAATGTGTGTTTCCCAAATTCACATGTTGAAGCCCTTACTCCCAGATCCTCAGAGTGTGGCTGTACTTGGAGATGGGCCTCTAAGAAGGTTAAAAGAGGCAGATAGAATGGACCCTAATCTAATGTGATGGGCACAGGTAAGAAGAGGAAACATGTACACATGGGCCTGTGTCCCCACAACCTAGGGAGAAGGCAGCCCATCTGAAGCTGAGGAGAGGCTCAGGCCCTTTGACCTCAGATTTCCACCCTTCAGAACTGTGTTAAAAGAAATCCCCCTCATTTTTTAACCCTGTCTGCTGATTATTTGTTAAGCTTCTGTAGATTAATAAACCCCGTTGGTGGCACTTTGTTACGGCAACTGGAACTGGGACACTTCCCCAGCTGGATACTTTCTAGGGTCCTGTTACTTGATATCCTGCAATTTCTTTTATGTCCTCTCAGTTAATTATTGAAAATAGTTTCTGGAACTTAGGGAACTCTGAAAGGGTCGGCTAGAGTTGGGAGTCCACCTTTCCGAGGCTCAGGGTCTGGAGAGAATGGGGAAGTAGCTGTTTTTCCAGAAGTGGTGTTGGGTTCACCCTTTCATCTTAGAGCTGCGCTGTTCAGCTGACTCTCCAAGCTAAAACGAAATGCTCTACAGAAAACAGGGGGCAGAGAGGGGATGCTGCCAGGTCACCCAGGCAGGACCTGCTTCCTATCCATAGATAAAGGGTCAGACCAGCCTCTGAGATTCAATATTACCAACAAGCTTCACCGTGTACGTGGTTCTTTAAGCCCACTTAGCAGCACACCGGGGGGCATGCTGGGCCCTATGCTGGGCATGTGTTGGCCATGAGCTTGTACAGAGGCTAGTCCCACCATCCTTCCCCACACCCCACCCAATGCACTTGGTATCAGAACCCTAGCAATTGCAAGTCATAGAAAATCAAAGTAGTGTGACCAATGAGGAAGGGGTGTATCAATTCACATAACTAGTGAGTTGATAACTAGCTGATTCCTATAACTAGAAAGTCTGGAAGGGTGCAACTGGTTGAAGACTTGATTGGATTCAAGGGTCCAAAGGACATGATCAACAACACATTTATTTATCCTCATCTCCCCCTCACCTGCTTTCCCCTTCTGTGATTTTATCCTCCAGTAGACTTTTCCTGTCGTATGGAAAAGGGGCTATCAGGAGCTCTAGGCTGATATCTGAATAAGCTCAGTGAGAGGATTTGGTGAAAACAGTTTGGCTCTGCTTGGATCATGTGCCAACTTATGAACATTAGTAATATTTGTAATATTTAGAAATAATTGTCTATTATTAAAATAGCAGGGAGTGTACACTGGCTGGGCCAGATTCCAGAGTTGCCATGTGCCTTATAGGAGAAAGGAAGAAGCTAAATATATAGCATGGACTCCCACTTTCAAAGAAGTATTTCTGTTGCAGAAAGACAAAATAAATTAATAAATAAATAGAAAGTGTGGTGGTAGGAAGGATTTGGTCCAATGAATCCTCAGGCTGTTTGCTTGTTTGTTTGTTTGTTTTTGGTATTAAGGTTTTTGAGATCTTTATATATCCTGGAGATTAGTGCTCTATCTGACATGTGTGTGGCAAATATTGGCTCCCAAGTTGTAGGTTCCCTCTTCACCTCATTGTTTCTTTTGCTGAGAAGAAGCTTTTTTGTTTGAGGCCATCCCATTTATTGATTCTTGAATTTAGTTCTTGCACTTTAGGAGTCTTGTTAAGGAAGTTAAGTCCTAATCGACACGATGGAGATTTGGGCCAAGTTTTTTCTCTATTAGGTGCAGGGTCTCTGGTCTAATTCCTAGGTCCTTGATCCACTTTGAATTGAGTACTGTGCATGGTGTGAGAAAGGGGTTTATTTTCATTTTGTTGCATATGGATATCCAGTTCTCCCAGCACCATTTGTTGAATAGGCAATCTTTTCTCCAAAGTATGTTTTTGGCACCTTTGTCTACTATGAGATTACTATATTTATGTAGGTTTGTCTCTGTGTCTTCTATTCTGTACCATTGGTTTACCTGCCTATTTTGGTGCCAATACCATGCCATTTTTGTTCCTGTAGCTTTATAGTATAGTTGAAGATCTGGTATTGTGATGCCTCCTGCTTCAATCTTGTTGCTAAGGATTGCTTTTGCTATTCTGGGTCTCTTATTTATCCAAATGAATTTCATGATTGCTTTTTCTATTACCAAAAGAAATGATGATGGGATTTTAATTGGAATCACTTTGAATCTCTATAGCAATTTGGGTAGTATTGCCATTTTGACATTATTAATTTTGCCTATCCAAGAGCATGGGAGATCTGTCCATCTTCTAAAATCTTATTCAATTCATTTCTTTAGTGTTACACAGTTTTTCTTTTAGAGGTCTTTCATCTCTTTTGTAAAGTTGATTCCCAAATATTTTATTTTATTTGAGGCTATTGTGAATCCTATTTCAGAGGATTCATCACTGAGAAGTAGAAATGCATTTGATTTAGATACATTCAAGCAACAAATATACAAAAAATGTTCAACATCTCTATGATTTAGAGAAATTCAAATCAAACATATTCTAAGATTTCATCACATGCCAGTCAGAATGGCAGTTATCAAGAATACAGACAATGTTGGTGAGGATGTGAGGGGAAAGGCACACTCATTCATTGCTGGTGGGATTGCAAATTGGTGCAACCAATCTGGAATGCAGTATGGAGATTTTTTTAGAAAACTTGGAATGGAACTACTATTTGACCCTGCTATCCCATTGCTTGGTCTATACCCAAAAGACTTAAAAGTAGTATATTACAGGAACACAGCCACATCAATGTTTATAGCAGCTCAATTCACAATAGCTAAACTGTGGAATCAAACTAGATGCCCTTCAGTAAACAATGGTTTTTAAAAGTGGCATATATACACAATGCAATAAAAGAGAATAAATACAATCATTTGCAGATAAATGGGTGGAGTTGGAGAAGGTAATGCTAAGTGAAGTGAGCCAATTCCAAAAAAACAAATGCTGAATATTTTCTCTGATATAAGGTGACTGACTCATAGTTGAGTAGGAAGGGGGAGCATGGGAGGAAGAGACAATGGGACAGGAAGGGAGGGGGCATAGGTTTAGCAATGATGGTGGAATGCGATGGACATCATTATCTAATGTACATGTATGAAGACAAGAATTTGTGTGAACATACTATGTATAGAACCAGAGGTATGAAAAATTGTGTTGTAGATGTATAACATGAAGTGTAGTGCATTCTGCTGTCATTTATTTCAAAAACATTAAAAAAAAAAAAAGAAATAGATAGCCGAATAGTCTCTGCCAGGCATCCAGGGATGGCTTGGCTGTGGTCTGGAGAGATGCTGGTCACAGGAGACCAAATTACACTTAGATGGGAGGGATGAGTTTAAAGGATCTACTGTGCAAAATAATAACAACATACAACATACAACAGAATGACTACAGTTGATAATGTTTTATACACTTGAAAATGACTGAGATAGTAGATTTTAAGGGTTCTCACCACAAATAAGTATATGAGAGTAATATATATGTTCAATAGTTTGACTCAGCCATTTTTCAGTATATACATGGTTCAAAATATGTTGTATGCCATAAAAATGTACAAGTTATCATCATCATCATCACCATCAAGGATTGAACCCAGGGTTGCTTAACCATTGAGTCACATCCCCAACACATTTTATTTTTTATTTTGAGACAGAACTGTGTCATAAAACCCACCCTGGAAATGAGGTAAACTGGGAAGTTATTTAGTTGTATAAATTAATACCTCCTTCCCCAAATTGGAACTCTGTTAAAAGAAAAAGAAAGAAAGATAGGATGAGCAATGAGCACTGTCTGCTTTAATTAGCGCTTGGCTTGAAAGGGAGATAACTATCACCAAACTTCTCCCATGCCATCTCCCCAGGAACCATATTACATGGTCTCTGTATTAGCCTGCATTCTCTGGATCTAACAAAATACCCAAGAATGGGTACTTTATAAAGAGATGAGGTTTATTTAGCTCAGAGTCCAACAACTGGCAGCCATTATGACTGACCTTTGGTAAGAGTGATCACAACATGGTGAATGGCATCATGGTGGGAGGACATGCAATGGGTAGAGACTGCAGGGCCAGAAACCGGGGAGGGATAAGTCTCATTCTTTTTATAACAACCCCCTCTCACAGGAACTAATGGAGGCCCATGAGAAGTCCATTAGTCCCTTCTAAAGGCCTCATCCCCAATCACCAAATTACCTCCTACTAGGCCCCATCTCTTGCAGGTGCTGCCACACCAAGGACCAAGCCTCAAGCCCATGAACCTTTGGGGGACAAACCACATCCCATCCTCACAAGCTCCAACAAAGCCACCATTGTAAGAGCAGGATGTCCCAGTCTACAAGTGTGTATGTAAGGATGGGGGAGGGTTGAAGCAGCCAGAGCCCCTATTCCAGAACTTCTCTGATGTCACACTTGTAGTCATGGTACTCTGGGTGCCAAGCCAGGAGAAGGAGTGGTTGGCTCTCATTTGTTTGAGAACAGGCATCAGAGCATGACTGCTTCAAATGGTTTTTTGTCCCCACCCGCACCCCGCCCCTAGCCAGATCCTGGCTATTCTCAAGGCTTTGGGCTTGTTTGACTATGGCAGCACTGGTCTCTCTGAGCACCGTGTTCTTCACTTTCCCGTGAGTCTCCATGCCAGCTGTCGGGCTTCTCACCAAGAGACAGATGGGAAATAGACAGTGAGAGTGCAGAGGCAGGGAAGTGAAGGGAGGCCAAGCGGGGAAGGAGGATATTTAGTTAAAAGCACAGAGATGTGGAGAGCCTGAGGCTTTCAGGGAACTATGGGAGGCTGGTAATGCTGGTGACATTTGGTGGAGGGAATGGGGTCTGTCTCTAGCTGGGATATTCAGATCTGCCCTTAAGGTGTGTGAGTCTGACCTCAGGTGAGCAGGGCCTCATGGGGGCTCTGGGACTAGAACTGACTCTGGTCCTGGTTTCAGATGCTGAGCACTGGCCTAAAATGGAGACTGGATCTTTCCAGTGGCCTCAGGCCTTCTCTGCCTCCTCATTTTGTACAGCCTCATTTCCATGAATGTGTCGGATCCAGTCATCTTACACAGAGGTAAGGCCTCAGACCCGTGGGAGAGGGAGGTGGCACCCCAAGGACAGGTGCCTACAGGGTCATTTCTAAAGGGCCTGAGGATCCCTTCTTACACTGTCATCATTACTAGGGCCCTGGCACTTCATTTCCCAAGCCACTGAAGTGTGAAAAAACAGAATCTTGGAGTTTTTTTAGAAGGAAGGATGGGGTAGGTTGGCACGAGAGGCCAACAGGCTCTTCCAAACCACAATTCATTCCTCCTCCTCCCCATTTCACACACGACTCCAGACACTGATCACTATTCCAAAGGGGGGAGTTCCATATAGAGCTCTTGAGGCTGGACAGCCCCTTCTCTTTGCCGCCCATCTGAGTGGTCAGCTTGCTCAACAGGGACCAGGATTCCCCTGCCCACCTCCTCCCCACCTTCTTGTTGCCCAGTGATGTTATGGGGCTGCCACAAGCAGCAGAGTGATACAAGGGCCTCCTCCACTGCCCAAACCTCTTTCTCTGCCAGGCGCCTTCAAGCAGGACACTGAGGCTCTCTACATGGCACGAGCGAATGGCAGCTTATACCAAATGCCATGGTGTCTCACCTGTTATTTTCACCACCTGCCCCGAACCTTCCACTTCAAAAGCTGTGACATCTGTGTGGAGGTGAGTTCTCCTCCTCCATGTCCACCCACCAACCTGTCCCTGGGCACCTGGCTAGGACCAGGAACCTCATGTCATGACGAGTGGGCCAGTGGTGGGTATGAGACCCTCTTCCTGAACTGCTTAAAGTGGCTTTCAGCCACTGTTGGTCACTTATATATATATCATCACCTCTGTGTCTCCACCTGTCCAGGGAGGCTGGCCTTGCTTGCACAGGTGCTGATATGCAAAAGGCATCCCCTCTATACTGAGCCTGGTGGAGTCAGGGGGAGGAAAAGCAGTGGCTGTCCCCTCCCCTGGCTTGCTGATACTAGATTCCCAGTCCTTTAAGCTGACTGCTGCCATGTCCTGGGGATCTTTGCCTGTCTTGGTCTGGGTGTCCCAGTTAGAGGGTTTCCTGGGTTCTGAGTGCATTTCTCTGATGTGCACCCCCTGCTCAGGTTCACAAATGCCGATGGCTGGTTGGGCAAGGGTGTTTTTTACATCTTCATTCAGTATTTGAGAAAACGGAGGCCCAGAATTGTATTATCCTGCTCCAAGTGACAACAAGTAGGTCTTATCTCTAAAAACCTTTCAGGACAGATGACCTAATGAGACATGGAGTCCTAACTGTGCTCTAACCATGGAAAGCCAGGTTCTCCCTGAGATGAGAACCCATGTGTAGGGCAAGAGCAGGCAGCCTAGAGGGCTGAATTGGTGGAGGCCTCAAGATTAGGAGGTGATGGAGGCCTGTCCTGAGGGACCCTCAGTCCTCATTCCTCTCCCCTAGGAGTTCGACCACCATTGCAGGTGGTTGAGTAACTGTGTGGGGCACCGAAACATCTGACTCTACCTGCTGCTCCTCTTGTCCCTGTGCCTCTGTCTGGGTGCTATGCTGGCCACTTGCATGCTTTTTATCATAGGCAGGAGGCACATGGCTTTCCTGAATGTACCCACACAGTACCAAGGGCCCACACTGGGAAGAGATGGTGTGGTGGGCAGGGAGGGGCAAACAGCTAAGGGGAAGGGCAGAGATGACCAATGGCAGAGCTAGAGGGAGAAGTCACTTGGGGAGGACCTGTGAAGGACATGTGGAAGGCCAGTGGGGTCAGGGAGATGGGTGGGGTAGGATGGTCTGTGGAGTTCAGAATCTAGGGGGGCCACAGAGTAGGATAATAAAAGTTGAAAAGGGACAGGTGGGAGGACAGTATGGTGGAGTGAGGTTTCACTTGGCTGTACTGGACAGTCCAGGGAGGGAGAGTGGGTGGGCAGTGCTAGCTGGGGCGGGACCAGGGAGGAAGTATTCCATGGCCTCACTTCTTAGCCCATGCCCAGGATCCTAGTGGCTGTACCTGCTAGGGCCCTCCTGCTCCTGCTCATCCTGCAGTTGCTCATAAAGGCAGTGGCAGTGGGCGCAGCCAGGTGACCTATGAGGACCAGGTATGCAGGCTGAGTGTGCATGCCCTGGGTTGTAAGGATGCATCTTGCTCCTCTGTAATTAGGAAATGCCCTTGGCCCCGATGGTACCTCCTGAGTCCTTCCAGACCCACATCTGAAGATGCAGCTCAGATATCTCTGTATTTGGTGGCCATTCTCCCTTCTGGGTGCATTGCATTGAAAGCCTACTGTGTGCTAGGTATGCTAGGTGACAGTTATTTGAGGGATGGGTGAAGTGGTGAGTACACCAGGCACTTGTGTTAAATAGCAACTTGCAATCAGAATAACACTGGCAGACACCCAGGAACACTCTGAGCGAGGGGTCAGTCCTGAATGGAGTAGCAGACTGGAAGAAACTGGGAGTTTGACAAGGCCCACGCTGTAGAATAGAGTAGAATATGCCACTCCTTGTGTCCTAGGTGTGATTTTGGAGAGGCAGACAGGAGGGGATTGACTGTGAGAGGTCCATCTTTGCACAAAGGCACAGAAACCAGAAAGTTCTGTAGGGTGTTAACAAAATAATAAAGGGATCAAATTCAAGCACAAGATGGCATGAGGTTGACCCCGAGGGGGTCAAGATTAGAAAGGCCCAGAACGTCAAGTGTGGAAACCTAGGAGCCATGGTAAAATTTTTGTAAAAGTATCATTTATTGAGGAATAATTACAGACAATAAAATTTACCCTTTTTAGTCTATAGTGAAGGATTTTGACAAATGGATACTATCAAGTACTCTCCACCAAGATCGAGGTTAGATCAGTTTCATTATCACAGAAAATTCTTTCATTTCTTGTCAATTTCTCTCCCTAAGTCCTTGTGGTTTTTATCTTTCCGGAATCATATATAAATGGCATTGTGGGCTTTCTAGTCTGGCTTCATTCATTGAGCACAATACATTTGAGATTTATCTATGTTGTTGCTCACATCAGTAGGTTATTGCCTCTTATTTCTGTGTAGTATTGTATGGATGCCCTACAGATTATTTACATATTCCCCAATTGAAGGATTTTTACTTTGTATCTAGTTTTTGGCAGTATTCTTATTTGTTTTGTTTTATTTTGTTTTTGTACCAGGGATTGACAAGAGGTGCTTAACCACTAAGCAAAATTCCCAGTCTCCCCGTTAACCTCAGCACCCTTATTTTTTCTTTTTGAATACTTTTTAAATTTTTGAATCAGAATTTCAGTAATTTGCTAATGCTGGTATCAAACCTGCATCAGTATCCCGAGTCACTAGGATTACAGGTGTGCGCCTCCATGCCTAGTTTGACAGAAGCATTTTTGATGCCCTGAAATATTTCTGGCTGGGGGTGCATCTCAGTGGTAGATTATGTGCTTAGCATGTGCAAGGCCCTGAATTCTTCAATTCCCAGCACACACAGAAAAGAAATCTGAATAAATGAGTGAACCAACAAACAGAAGAATCAACATTTGGGGATAGAAAGAAAGAGAGAAAGGAACAGAGAGAAGCCTGGTGCCCTGATATCCCCCAGGATAAGGGGAAGAAGGAGAGGCAGCAGAAGTTGGGCAGAAGATGGGGCAAGAAGAAGATGCTGCTGGATTTTGGTCCTTTGGAGTGTGAGGGTGTTTGAGACACAGAATTGGAGCAGGAGCCCCAGGAGTGGAGCCAGTGAGAGAGGCTGGTCTGGTTGCCTCAGAGCTGTTGGACTCTATTTGTAGTTGATAGGGTTCCATGTGGTGAGAGAAAGGTATTCAAATTTACTGCTCAGATCTTAAAACTTCAGTAATTATTATTCCTTGAAGTCTTTTCTATACCTTATTGGCAATCAATGTTTAGTTCAAGACTTGATATATATCTAATCAAAAATTCTTTCTGAAAGTTTAAACATTCTTTATTTTTTTAATACTCTGCCATTAATTGATTTATTTCTTCTGGTTCTAGGAATTTAATCTAGGGGTGCTTTACCACTGAAGCTGCATCCCCAATCCTTGCTATGTTTTGTTTTGAGATAGGGTGTCACTAAGTTGTTGAGGGCCTTGCTAAGTTGTTGAGGCTGGCCTTGAACTTGTGATCCTCCAGCCTCTGCCTCACAAGTTCCTGGGATTACAGGTGTGCGCCACTGTACCTGGTGGTATACTCATTTCTTAAGTGCTGTGAACACCTTAAAGGAGGCAGAACCTCATAGAGCACAATGATTCATGTTGCTTTTTGCATATTCCAGTGCTATTCTGATGTGAAATCATCTTTTCTTCTAATGGAGAATAGTGTTGAAGATCAAAGTTTTCATATGTGGGAGAGTTGGGGGTGGATAGAGGTGCTGCTGAGTCACTTGCCATTATAACAGTATTTGCTATCTAAAGCTCATGAAGTTCTGGTGAAACTCAATCTTGTCTGGAAGGAGGAGGGGTCAAGGCTGACAGATGAACTCAGAGGAAGGAGAATGTGGAATAAGGGAGAGGAGAAGCCAGTCAGTGTCCAGAGAAGGACATGAACTTTGAGCTTGACCTTTCCTGCTTTGTGTACTGAAGGTCTTCAGCTCAGATTTTCCTGGAAAATCTGATTTTTGACTAGGGAAATATGTCTGGGCATCCCCTGCTGCCACTAGTCTCCCAGACAGTTAAATTCAATGAAGGTAGTTTTTTAGGAAAAATTGAGAGGTGAGAGAGTAAAGTGGGAGCAGGGTGGTGACATCATCTTTGGATCAGGTGAGCAGAACAGCACTAGAAAGATCTTAAAAGGTACCTGGAAGGACGTGGTGGGAGGACAAGTGTGGCCAATGGAGACAGAGCAAGGATCCTGCAAAGGGAAGCACAAGGGGATGAGGAGCCCTGAGAAGGCAGGAGAGGTGGGTGCTGTATCAGCACTGTCTGGGGAGAGCTGCTCACAAGTGGGTCGAGGGAGGTCACTCTTCCTAGGAGCCTGGGAAGGCAGGAGGCCCTGGGTCACTCTTGGGCACCCCTGTACCTAGAGCCTGGCCACAGGCCCAGGTTGAGCCCTGGCTTAACTATCTTAGCAAGGGTCACTGGGAGATGGCCTTGCCCAGTCCTGCTGATTCTGAGCTTCTCTTCCCTTCCTCATCTCCCTCTAGCATGATAACCCATTCAATGAGGGCTGCACAAGAAACTGTTACCTCACATTATGCGCACCCTTGGGACCCAAGTGAGTTGGTAAACCAAGGGCTCAAGTGGTGGACCCTGGGGCTGGTGGGGTGGGGTGAAGTTGGGTCTATTTCCCTGGTCCCTGACCCCAGCTCCCAGGCCTTAACACTTCCTGTTCCTTTGCTTTGGGTTTTTCTCCAGGGCACTCTGGGAGTTTCTGGGAATTTCACTCTTCCTTGGTGTTTTAGGTTCTTGCCCCAAGAAATATGGTAGAGGGGAATGGCAGCCTGGATAAGGCTCCTGGATGAGAGCCCTGGGCTCTATGCTTTCCCAGCTGAGGGGTGAGATGGTCAGGGAGATCAGGCCAAGGTGGGTAGTGACTCCTTGCATTTGGCCTGTTGCTTCCCAGGTACACGTCAGAGGCTGAGTGCCTTCAGGTGGAGCAGGGCACCAACTGGGGACCAACACAATATCTTAAAGACCTCCTTTGGCCCAGATCCGCAACTCAGGCCCTCCCAAGGTGTGGCAAGTCTGCACCCTTACAGAAGGTAAGGAATATTGGATGAGCTTTGAAACATGGGAGTCTGTGGTTGCACATGTGTTGGGGGAAGCCCCCGATGCCATGCTGGCCCTGAAGCTGAAGCTCTTGGAGCCTAAGGAGTGGGATTATGGACCTGGAGGGTGCAGGGTCCAGGTCACAGGGCTTCAGAGCACACTAAGGTGTCCCTGGATAGAGAAAGAGAAAAGACTGAAACACTAACTTTCTGATTGTCTTTGGGCCAGTCCTTACTTTTTTGGTCCCCAGTTTCCTCAGCTATTAATGAGGACTGAGACTACTCTAGTAGTTTAGGTTTTAAAGACAATTCTGTTTCACATATATATATATCAGTTGTAGATGGACCCCAGTTTGTGAGCTATTATTGAGGACTGAGACTATTGCACTAGTTTGTTTTAGAGAAAATTCTGGTTTTTATATGTATATATGTGTTGTAAATAGACACAATATCTTTATTTTATTTGTTTATTTTTATGTGGTGCTGGCTATGAAACCCAGTGCCTGATGCATGCTAAAAAAACACTCTACCCCTGAGCCACCACTCCAGCCCAGATTCAATTTAATGGAAATTTTTATTTGGCATTCCATGTTAAACATTTGGAGTGGAGCATTAGGAGTGCAGTGGGGTGGGTCACACACAGTGGCCCCCATGGGCCCTTGCAGTGATTTGGTGCCAGTCCTCTCCTTTGTCCTACCTCTATGCACCCTGGGACTTGACTGTGAGCTGTGGGGTGCAGGTTAGGGAGAGCCCCATGTACTGACTATGTGTTTATCTTCCCATCAGCCCAGTGGTGTATTGGGAGGCTTCCAGGAGAGGCTTAGCCTCCCATTCACCCTTCACACCCAGCAATGCCAGTACACGCACCAGAAGTTCATCTCCTGAGCCCCATTTTGAGATCTCTTATGCCTGAGCCCTCACTCACCCCCTTGTTGACAGTGCCAAGACCCCTACACTTGTTATATACTCATATTTTTTGCTGCTTCCTATGGCTGCTGTGCCTGTCTGTCCTAGGTTCAGAGAAGTGTGTTTCCTGGGGTGGGTGGAGGCTCTGAGGGGCTGGAACAAATACCTCCTGGAAGGGAAGATCCTTGCTCTCTGGAGACCCAAGCTCAGGAGCCAACACTGCCTGACTCTTTGACCTTGGGCAAGACATTTCTCTCACCCTTATAATGTGGCAACAGTAATAATTACAATGACTGACCTGGCTGGCCTCCTGGCAAGCAAGCGCTGGAGATGGGAGAATACCTACCAGCCTGGATAATTCCAAGTGTGCCTAAAACATTCTATAAAATAGAAAGAGAAATTATTTATTATTAGTTATAATAGACTAGTGTATTCGTCAGAGATTACAATGTTTCAGTTAAACATGTGTAAGTTTGGGGACTACAATGGTCAGTATGGTAGCTATAGTTGATTTATTGCATGCTTTAAAACTGATAATAGAGTTGGGTGAAGAGGTGCCTATCTTCAGCCCTAGCTACTCAGGAGGCAGAGGCAGGAGGATCACAAGTCAAGAATATGTAACTGAAAAAGACTTGTTTTGTCTCAAAATAAAAAACAATAATAACATCAGAGTCCTGGGTATGTAGGCCAATGGTAATGCACCCCTCGATTCAATTCTTAATCGTGTAAAAGGAAAGAAAACTTGACCATCAGTTTTGAGTTTTCTTTTTATTTGAAATGGAGTCCCACTATGTTGGCCAGGACAGTCTTGAACTCTTGAGCTCAAGCAATTCTCCTATTTTAATGTCCTGAGCTCTGGAAGGCAGGTGTGTACCATTGGACTGGATTGAAAAGAGATTGTAAACCAGGTTTGGTGGCACATGACTACTTTCAGTAACTGAGGAAAGTGAGGCAACAGAATCAAAAGTTTAAGGCCAGCCTCTGCAATTTGGCAAGACTCTATCTCAGAATAAAAAGGGCTGAGGATCAAGCTCAGTGGTATGATGTGCTTGGGTTCAACCCCCAGGGCTGGAAAAAAATATATATATATGTGTGTGTGTGTATGTGTGTGTGTGTGTGTGTATTCCATTATATAGAAGGACTTGGACATTTTAGATTTCTGTTTGGGGCTGATATGAATAAGCATGGAAGGAAACTCCTGTCCTTGAGCATGCTAGGCAAGAGCTCCAGCAATGAGCCACACCACAAACCTTGCATTTAAATTCTGGTTATTTTCTCACTGTTTAGTTATTGGAGAAACCCACTTTTTTCTTTTATTCCATTTTCTATGGGCATGTGGTGGGGCTTCCTGTGATGCTCAGATTGGTCTCAAATTTGTGGGCTCAAGTGATTCTTATGCTCCTGCTTTCTGAGCAGGTGGGACTACAGGTTACAGGTATTTGTCACCACACTTGGCAGTATAATCTCATATTGATAAAACCTTTTACATGTGATAAGAAACCCAGAATAAAAAACAGCAATTTAAGATGACTGAGCATAGTGACATATGCCTATCATCCCAGCAGCTCAGGAGGCTGAGGCAGAAGGATCATAAGTTTGAGACCAGCCTGGGCAGTTTAGCAAGACCCTATTTCAAAAGGCAAAGGGCTGGGAATGTAGCTCAGTGGTACAATGTTCCTAGCTTCAATACCCAGTACTGCCAAAAACAAATTAAAGAATAAAAACATTAGGACTGGAGTTGTGGCTCAGTGGTAGAACATTTGCTTAGCATGCATGAAGCCCTGAGTTCGATCCTCAGCACTACATTAAAAATAAATAAAATAAAGGTATTGTGTCCAACTACAAATAAATAAATAAATGTTTCTTAAAAAGATTAAAAGCATGAAATCTGGGCTTGGTGGCACATGCCTGTATTTCCAACTATTTTGCAGAGTCCATGAGTTTGAAATAAGCCTGGGTAAAATGTTGATACTTTGTCTCCAAAAAATAAAAGCAAATAATAATAATAATAATTTCTGAAGCCAAGCACTGTGGCTCACCCTTGTGATCCCAGAGTCTCCAGAGGTTGAGGTAGGAGATTCACAGGTTTGATGAAAGTGTTGGGATCTTAACAAGACTCTTGTCTCCAAATTTGCAAAAGGGTGGGTGGACTGGGAATGAAGCTCAGTGGTAAAGCATCCCTAGATTCAATCCCCAGTACAGGAGATTGGGGAAGAAAACAAACCAATTTAAGTTCATAACATTAAAATCTTGGGACTGGAAGTATACCTGTGTTAGTGTTTAGCATGTATTTAGCATGCTTGAGGCCCTGGGTTTAATACCAAAGACTTAAAAAAAATTAAAAATAAAAAAATAAAAACAACCAAAAAAAATTTTTTAGAAAACACAAATCATAAATGAAAATTAGTTTAGCATGTATAATTTTTGACCCAGAAATGTAACTTTTAGCATGTGTGTCCTAGGGAAACAATAAAATAGCATAGATTAAGGGTTTTGTCCCTTTATTTAGATATCAAAATGTAGTAAAAAAAAAATCAGTTTAAATGTAATTAGTGGTAAATTGGTTAAAATATAACATAACCATTTAATGTACTACTAGATCATTTTGAATGGATTAAGGGGGAAACTGTATTGTATTGCTGGGTTCAGTGGAGCATGAGTGTGATCCCAGCAGTTTAGGAGGCTGACATAGGAGGATCGCAAGTTCAAAGCCAGACTCAGCAACTAAGTGAGGCCCTAAGCAATTTAGTGACACCTGTCTTAAAAAATAAAAAGGGCTTGTGTTGTGGCTCAGTGGTTGAGTGCCCCGAGTTCAATCCCTGGTAGCTCTCTCGCCTCAAACAAGACATTAAACAGTAAACACTGTATAAGGTGGGTTCTTGGTTTCAAAACCCTAAATTTGTATTTCCTGAAGTGCTGAAGTGGGAATGGGCCTGCTGCCCTGTGTTCTCTATTTGTCTCATGCCTAGATCAGAACCAGACATGAGCAATCATCCTTCTTCCTGTTTGCTGTCCCTTGTCTTTTGCTCTTGGCTTAAGCCTTGTAAATTAGGGAGCTACTTTGCTGGTTGATTAACAGGAGGAAATACAGGTTTTATACTTCTGTCCTTCTCCCCAAACAAACCCAGCACTCCATTCCCAGTAGTACTCTGTTTTGATCTTTCCTGTTCATTTGCAAAATAGTTATAGAAAAGTAGAAATTTAGAAAACTAGATTTAATCAAATCTAAAATTGTATGTATAGTTTGTTTTATGTATTTTGAAATTTATCTCTGAAAATTAATTGTATTAGAGCAATTCAAACTACAATTCATTTCTGAATTTCTCTTTGTTAGGGCATACCAGAGCACTGGGCTCCATTGGCACAAACCTCATTGGCACAAACCTCATTGGCACAGTGTCCCCAAAGGAAAGCAAAAGGAGAATCCTCAAGCTGTGCCAGGTGTCTTAAAGTTCTATGACTTCAACACAGTAAAGCAGAAAAAAATCTCTGTTTTACTCCTCCTGGTAAGACATTAGAGAGTGGTAAAACACTGAATCACATGGAAAGTTGTGAAGCACTGATAGACAAAAAGGTTATTTCTGGAAAAATAAAAGGCTACTATCGTTCCTACTTCCTCTTACATAGATGCTGCTTTTTGTAAACTGGATGGCTCTTAAGTCTCACCTGGATTCTGAGGATTACATTGATCTCATGGTTTTGTTAGAAATGCAATTGAATGTTTTACATTTTCTTCCTTATTTTTATACTTTATAATTAAGCATGATAGTGGGATTGATACTTGCTCCATATTGTTACATCTAGTTGGGATTTTTCGCTCCTCAATGCTTTAAATGATTTTCAGTTTAGAAGGAAGAAGTGTGGATTTATAGATATATTTATTCTAGAAATTTATTTATTATCAGTGGCATAAAAGGATGTTTTGCTATATAAATGCATAGACCTTAGAGTCAAAAAATGATTTTTTACTCAAAAATTATATGTAAATATATAAAAATAAACATAACCAAAAGGATTCATATCTCAGAATTAGAATATCAGTGGGTTAAGAACTGGTATATACTGGATTTTTAAAAATAGTTTGTGGGGCTGAGATTGTGGCTCAGTGGTAGAGCGCTCACCTAGCATGTGTGAGGCACCCTGGGTTCGATCCTCAGCACCACATAAAAATAAAATAAAGATATTATGTCCAATTACAACTAAAATTTTTTTAAAAAACTTAAATTTAATTTAAAAAATAAAAATAGTTTATGTAAAGCAGCATCAGAATGAAGTTCACGTGGTGCAGTTAGTTGAGCGATCCCTGGAATGTCTTTGGAGATTTATACTCCCCTTCCTCACGCTGGTTCTCCTGCTTTCTCTTCCTTGCACTGTACTTTAAAAGATGCAGGATCATTTGTCCTGTTTCCCTCAGTGTAGATTTTACCAATCACTTTATCTTATTATTATTATTTTACAATTCTTAATATACACCTTTATACTACAATTTATTATATCTCTGTATATAAGATATATATAAGATATGTTGACACCCAATTCACATAGTCATACATGTATTTTGTATAATGAAGAGGGTCTCCTTCCACCATCCATGCTGTTCCCCTTCTCCCTCCCTTTCCCTCCTACCCTCTTCCCTATCTAGAGGTAATCTTCCTCCCATGCTTTCCCTCCCTACCCCATTTTGAGTTTAAAAAAAGAGACATGGTCACATATCAACCTTTGAATTTTACTAGCTTTTCTTCCTTTGCTCCTGTGATGAACGCAGCTGAAAACCAAGAAGTCAGAACCATCAGCAGTAGTAACAGAGGAAGATGATGGTGATGTAGAGGGGAGGCCTGTCATTGCCCCATGACCAGATCATACAAAATCAGTGAGTGACTAATGACCTGGTGTGCACATCTGTGCATGTGTGTTTCTAAAAACAGCTGTTTGCATTTGACTTTCATAATAATTTCAAAAAACTTTCAAGTTTAAAATATTTTACTATGAGAAAATTAATTTAAGATTAAATTAAAATTTTTACCTAAAGAGTACTCAACAAAAACCACTTTTTTGAAAAATGAAAATCTAATAGCTTCTTTAAAAGTTAGAATACTTAACTCATTGGGTGTTTTCTTTCCATGTCTTGCCCCCTTTTCCATCCAGAGAGGTCATGTATTTCTCTGTTGTTGTTGTTTTTTTTTTCTCTGTTTCATAATGTGGGTAACTCTTCTATCTAAAACTTCGCTCTTTCCTCTTCCCCAGATACTTTATTTCTCATTTTGACATTTCTCTCAAAGCCTTGATAGCATTCAAAAGAGAGTTGAGAGGAAAGTTCCTCACCAGCTGAGGAGAATTTCAATAGTAATGAGCTCAGATGGAGCCAGGGAGAGAACTACTAAGGGGGCTGGACTGTGATGTGGTTCTGAGGACTGCCATTGGATTCCCATCTCATGACAGATGGCTGTGTTTTCTATATTCCTTACAACTGGCTCTTTAAAGTGAAAGGGAGGGTAGGCATTATATTTATGTAAAATGTTTCCTGGAAATTAGTAATAGTTATTTCAACATGAAGATTTCTAGTCTCTTGTATTTTTTTTAAATTAAAAACTTTATTTTTAAAGTGTGCTGCTCTTCTACTAAGTTGTTTTACTATTTTATTTTTTAATTTTAAAAGTATTTTTAAATATTTTAATTGTAGATGGACACAGTACCTTTATTTTATGTATTTTTTCTGTGGTGCTGAGGCTGAAACCCAGTACCTTACACACGTGCTAAGCAAGCACTCTACCACTGAGCTACACCCCCAGCCCCTGTTATACTATTTTCGATCTGGGAACACATAAATTTTATTCATAGACTTTCTAGTTTCCTAGATATACTTTTTTTGGGGAGGGGGCGGGCACTGTGGATTGAACCCAGGGATACTTAACAACTGAGCCACATTCCCAGCCCTCTTTTTTATTTTTTATTTTGAGACAGAGTCTCTCTAAGTTGCTTAGGGCTTTACTAAGTTGCTGAGGCTAGCTTTGAACTTGGAATTTTCCTGCCTCAGTCTATCAAGTCACTGGGATTACAGGCATGTACCACTGCACCTGGCTACTAGTTACATTTTTAAATACATTCATGCTATGGCAAAGAAAAATATTTCACTTTTTTTTCAATTCATGTCTTTTGTAAGTCTGAAAGTATTGTGTTCTTTAGAACAATAAGAGAAGTAACTTAGTTTGGGTAAAAAATTAAGGAACTGAATAATGTGCCAGTAAGAATGTCTGAAAATTTTTTTTTTCAAATCTCAGTCATGAACTATATCTCTGCAGATTTCCACCCAGTCTTTAACTGACACTGTACCTGCACCTCTTGGTGACACAACTGTTGACAATGGTGCCAAGACTTCAGACAAACAGAAAAAGAACACAAATTTGACCGATAAGGAGATTATGGTGAAATTAAGTATGTTACCTACATTTCACATTATTCATGAATTAACATTTTTTAAAACATTTGACCCAAGTCTGGGGATAGAGCTCAGTAGCAGAGTACTTGCCTGGTGTGTGCAAGGCCCTGGGTCCTTCCCCAGCACTGCGCACACACACACACACACACACACACACATACATACATCCACACACGTGCGCACACAGTTGAATCGAAATATATATACTTTTTATTTTAGCTTAAAGCAGAAAGAATAACTTTTCCTATAGGTGAAAATACTTCAATTCCAATGTAATGAGCTGAGCTGGGCATGGTGGCACATAGCTATAATCCCAGCAATTCAGGAGATTGAGGCAGAGGATTTCAAGTTCAAGGTCAGTCTGGGTAATTTAGTGAGACTCTGTATCAAAATAAATATATAAAAAGGACTGGGTTTATAACTCAGGGCTCTAGTGCCCCTGGATTGAACCCCCAGTACCACCCAAAAAAGTGGAGGCAAAATAATATTCATTTTGAATGATACTGCATTTCAAATATATTATGTATTGATAGTGAAGTCAGTCCCTTTGGTAGCAACACTTATTTCCTATGAGCCAAATCTAAAGGATATAAACAGGGACATAGTTGGAAATCTTAGCAAAGCAGGTTTGTAAATATTTGTCCAAACCTATAGCTTTTCAAAATAGAAACATGTAATCATAAAATATATTCCAATGAAAAACACATTTTCCTTGTCCCTTTTAAATTATTTACTCTCATTGGCCTGAATCAAGCATTATAAAAAATGTGAACAGTACCAGGAAGGGGGTAACAAAATAATGTCTGATTACAAGGCTCTAATAACTATAATTACAAAAAAACAATGTGACCTAGAAGGTTCAAGGAAAAATAGAGATGGGTTGTTATAATCACATGTTCACATTTATTTGTTTTTGATTCCTCAGTATTTTCCAATAGAAAACTATGTTGACTGTGATAGCCTATAGATATTTACATATAATAATCCTTATCTTAGGAGGGCTGCTGTTTAAAAAATAAACTAAAATTGTTAGTTGTGGCTCTTCATTTGTGACCCCTAGTTATCACATCTCCCCTATCTTTATACCCTTAACTTTTTGGCTTGAATCTTAGTAGCTAACTTGAGATTGAATACCTACATAAGATTATTTATGTGAGTTTCCTTGACATGGCCCCGTCTACTTTTATCTTGAGTAAGTGAAATTTTAATGTGATTTTCTTACTTTTTAACTTAGTGGTCATAAGAATTTACACTAGGATTTTATATCCAACCTCCTAATTTTACCATTTCTTGGTCATTACTTTGAAATTCCTAAAATCATTCTATGTTTAGTTTATATTAGAGTAATCTCTATAGTAGTAGGTGGTTTGCTAAATATATTTTAAGAAGATATACTGGAATACTCAGAAAAATCAGTTAGGATTATTCATTTGGCTATCATTTTATTATTATTACTGATAGTTGTTTCATAATTTATCATTAGTATATAATACATGCAGTGAGGAAGAAAAGTAGAGTGCAGAATTTCCCATGAATTGCTAAGTTTTTGTTTGTTTTTGATCCTAGGGATTGAACCCAGGGGTGCTTTACCACTGAGCTTCACCCCAATCCTTTTCAGTTTTTTTGTTTGGAGACAGGGTCTCACTGAGTTTCCAAGACTGGTCTCCAGCTTGTGATTCTTTTGCCTCAGCTCCTGGATATTTGGGATTACAAGCATGTACCACCATACCCTGCTGAAATTGCTATTTGGAAAGCTGTACATCCTGAGAATCCCCTTACTTCTCAGGCAGATAAGAACAATTGGTTGTTCTAAAATGTCATGAAATTTGAGGAAGTGATTAGTTAGGAGTCCCAAGCTTATGGAGAATATGTGTCTTCTTGTTTGGGACAACTTTTTGCTTCTATTAAATTTCTTCAGTTTTTTTTTAGGGGGGGACCAATTATTGTTGAAACTTGATGTGTTTGAAAAACCACTGTTTTAAAATCAGTAGAGTTTATTAAAAGGAATGATGATACTAAAATTAATTTTGTGTTTAAAATGTGTTTAAAAATATTATTAATTATTTTAGGGTATTAGGGTCACCTATGCTCACAATAGTTCCTATTTTAAACAAAAACAACATTGAAAATTCAGTCAAGCATTTTAAACACAAATTAAGGGGACGACTGGGGAGTTTTTTCAGTGGTAAGGTACCGCTGGGTTTAGTCCTCAGTACTAAATAAATAAATAAATAAATAAATAAATAAATAAATAAATAAATAAAATATTTTTGAATCATATTATTATTAATCTTTGAGTCTACCACTGTGATTTTGCTCAGTTAATTGTTTTTAAACTATAGGAAGCTCTTTCCTCTATTGCTTGAGAGCAAATAAACACCTTGAATTTTTATTGTTACTAATCTCTAGAAATGTTCTGTGAATTTATAAAGAATAAGTGGGATTTAGAATGAGAACTTTTGGAAACATTCTTATGGTAAATTTCTTTTTTAAGAACTAAATTCAGTTCAGCACTGATTTTAATAATAATAGAAAATTGATAATCACCTTAATATTTTGAACATGATAATAGATGTAATATGTTGAATAATTAATAATGAATGAAAAAGAATCATACCTATGTATGTGGATAGGTATCAGAAATCCAGGTGAATTGTTTATTAGTTTGTTTGTGGTCCTGGGGATTGAACCCAGAGGCGCTTCACCACTGAGCTAGTTCCCCAGCCCCTTTACACTTGTGTGCCACCATGTGCCAGGTTTCTGTTCTCGTGACTAAAAGGCTCAGGGGTTACTCCAGGAAAACTGGAATGACTGGGCTTCACAAAATAACCACACAAGAGACATAAATACCTTTTTCTTTGGGGTCACTGTGACCTTAAGGGTCTGCAGGAAGAGAGAGAGAGAGCATGTGCTGACCCCTTTTATTGAGGAGAAGCTATTCAAATGAGGCAAGGGGTCAGGTTTCAGGGGGCTGAGTCTATCTTCATGATGTCCACTGTCAGCAGGTTGACTGACACCGGGGTAGGCCACACCCAAAGACACAGTAAGACAAGGGGATACACACAAGGCACTTCCATGGAAGATTCTATCTTAAACAGGGCAAGGGGTTATATTACAAAAGAACAGGTAAGCGTAGCTTGACCCATGGGGCTGTAGCAAGACACACCCATTTACGAGACACTTGAACCCAAGAAGGTTGGGGAAAGCTCTACCACATTTCTGTGACTGAGCGCCTCAGCATCCAGCCAGGGAGTGTGAATCAGTCACATGCAAGGTTGGTCTCCCACAACCATGCCCAGTCAGATAAATTTTTAAAAGCAAATAGCAGAGAAATACATAAACTGGAACTTCGTAGTTAAAAGTATAGAAAAGCGCTTGGAAACTCACACATCAAACACAGTATGAACACCCAATGCAGGTCCCCTTGGGTGGAGGGAGAATACTGCAGACAAGGGTATACCAGAAACTTCCAATTGCAGTTGTTTGTTCCTTAAGTAGGGAGCTCTCTGCAAGAGTGTCTGTTATTCATTCTTTACTTTATCTTTTTCCCTATATTTTTGTAGGTTTAAAATATTTCAAATCAAAATTTGGGCTACAAGGATTGCATCCTCTTTTCCCTTTCCTTTTTCTATTTTTAAAATGCTAAATCTAAAAATTAACAGTGAGAAGGGTGAAGCCTATGGCAGGGATTTAGAAATCTGAATTCTGATTGTGTCTTGTTTCCCCTAGGTTTTCTGGTTCAGTTTTTACTACTATTGATGTGACTCTGGAACAAAAGGTAGCAACTTTTTCATACTTCTAGATGTTATATTAGCTTTTTGTTTAGGAGAAAAACTAGATAATGCTAAGCATAATCAATAAGAATATTTTTAATTGGATATGTTGTAAGAATTAATCTCTATAATTTTATAGCCATTATCACATGAGGGGGACAAAGAAGGAATTATGTCATCTATAAGCAAATATTTAAAAAATGTTTTCCCAGGTTGGAGTGAAAAGAGGGTTATTCTTGGCACTGGACTGGTCTTAAGTTGGTTAATCAACTTCAAGATAAATCTGAATATATTTGGGGTCCAGGTAGTATAAAACACTGTGCATAGTCAGTGTGCAAGTAAAAATACCATTTGTCAGTTATACTCTCACTGTGTAATATCATGTGTTACTATAAATTAGTGACTGGTTAGTGTTTGTTACATTCTAAGAGAATTAAGAAAACCATTTTATTCCCATTCTGTTTCCATGGTAGGTTGCAATTAAACACATTTATATACAGAAATATCCTTGGAAGGACCTGATCCCCAATGAGCTTTTGGTGATGAAAGAATTAAAGATTCCCAACATAATTAACTTACTGGACAGGTAAATATGTTTGAGGTTCTTTTAAAGATTGAGATAAAGATATGGAAATTTATATAGGCTTGTGTTTCAAAGGAGGGTTAGGGTTAGCCACTGAAGTAAACTTAAAAGAGAAAGAGGAGAGGTGAAAATAACTTACTCCAAGTTAGAAGGTTCTTTTGCTTACAAGGATATTACTTGGAAAGTAAGAGAAGTCAGCTAAATGAGGACATTGCTGATGATACGTGTATTCAGGCAAATGATCAGAAGCAGAAACATTAAGGAATGGTCAACTGGGATTCATGTAGTACCCCACAGAGTTGACTAGCAGACAATTCTTTTTTTTTTTTATTAGTGATATTATTTTTTTCCCAAATTTATAAGAAATATAATACACATGTTCTTTGCCCAGACTTCTGCTACTTTGTTTTCAAATAATAGGTAAAAACTCAGTAACACTTTGAACAGTGTCATTAGACACTTTTTAGTTTGTTATGAGAATGATCAAATGAATGACTTGATAAGTTCTTGTAAAAATGCTAAATGATAATGTTCATGTTGAGGGCAGTATTAATAAGACCATCAGAAATCTTAGATGATGTCTCCATTCATATCCAATAGGTGCTCCAGGGCTGACTTTGTGTTATTTTTCTTTTCTTTTGTAATGCTTTATCAATGTAAGGTAGAACAAATTAGTGGTAGGCTTTTAAGTTTTTTAAATTTTTAAACTATTTGAGTGGCAGACATTAGAATCAGTAGTATAATATTAATTTCTTCAGTTACCAGTATGTGTGTGTATGTGTATGCACATGTATATGT